AGACAGTACAAGACAGTGCAAGACAGTACAGCAGACAGTACAGCAGCCAGTACAGCAGACAGTACAGCAGACAGTACAGCAGACAGTACAGCAGACAGTACAGCAGACAGTACAGCAGATAGTGCAGCAGATAGTGCAGCAGACAGTGCAGCAGACAGTACAGCAGACAGTACAGCAGACAGTACAGCAGACAGTACAGCAGACAGTACAGCAGACAGTACAGCAGACAGTACAGCAGACAGTACAGCAGACAGTACAAGACAGTACAGCAGACAGTACAGCAGACAGTACAGCAGACAGTACAGCAGACAGTACAGCAGACAGTACAGCAGATAGTGCAGCAGATAGTGCAGCAGACAGTGCAGCAGACAGTACAGCAGACAGTACAGCAGACAGTGCAAGACAGTGCAGCAGACAGTACAGCAGACAGTGCAAGACAGTACAGCAGACAGTACAGCAGACAGTACAAGACAGTACAGCAGACAGTACAGCAGACAGTACAAGACAGTGCAGCAGACAGTACAGCAGACAGTGCAAGACAGTACAGCAGACAGTACAGCAGACAGTACAAGACAGTACAGCAGACAGTACAGCAGACAGTACAAGACAGTACAAGACATTGCACAAGACAGTACAGCAGACAGTGCAGCAGACAGTACAAGACAGTACAGCAGACAGTACAAGACAGTGCAAGACAGTGCAGCAGACAGTACAAGACAGTACAAGACATTGCACAAGACAGTACAGCAGACAGTGCAGCAGACAGTACAAGACAGTACAGCAGACAGTGCAGCAGACAGTACAAGACAGTGCAAGACAGTGCAGCAGACAGTACAGCAGACAGTACAAGACAGTGCAAGACAGTGCAGCAGACAGTGCAGCAGACAGTACAGCAGACAGTACAAGACAGTACAGCAGACAGTACACAAGACAGCCTAGCTGAGAGAGAAGAACCACACCAGCATTGGGCCATTCATTGGAAACAAAATATCCCAGATTTTTCTTTTCGTAGCTGCCACAAGAAACAAAAACTAGCAATGTGGGTGTTAAACGACAGTCTTGATTAGGGTAAAGGCCGGCTGCTAGAATCTTAGATGGTAAAACTAAAGGTCATTGTATAGACATCTGGATGTTATATCGAACATCAATAGATGTTCAGTAGAACAATATGTTCTATAGCCTAATAAGCCTAAATGTTCAACAGAACAAGTCTTGATGTTCTATAGAACAAGTCTGAATGTTCTATAGAATAAGTAATAAATAATAGATGAAGCTTGTATGAAGATATGTATAACTAGCTTAGACGTTCTATAGAACAAGCCTAGATGTTCTATAGAACAAGCCTAGATGTTCTATAGAACAAGCCTAGATGTTCTATAGAACAGGCCTAGATGTTCTATAGAACAAGCCTAGATGTTCTATAGAACAAGCCTAGATGTTCTATAGAACAAGCCTAGATGTTCTATAGAACAAGCCTAGATGTTCTATAGAACAGGCTTAGATGTTCTATAGAACAAGATTAGACGTTCTGTAGAACAAGCCTAGATGTTCTATAGAACAGGCCTAGATGTTCTATAGAACAAGCCTAGATGTTCTATAGAACAAGCCTAGATGTTCTTTAGAACAAGCCTAGATGTTCTATAGAACAAACTTAGATGTTCTATAGAACAAGCCTAGACGTTCTATAGAACAAGCCTAGACGTTCTATAGAACAAGTCTAGATGTTCTATAGAACAAGTCTAGATGTTCTATAGAACAAGTTTAGATGTTCTATAGAACAAGCTTAGACGTTCTATAGAACAAGATTAGATGTTCTATAGAACAAGCCTAGATGTTCTTTAGAACAAGCCTAGATGTTCTATAGAACAAACTTAGATGTTCTAAAGAACAAGCCTAGACGTTCTATAGAACAAGCCTAGATGTTCTATAGAACAAGCCTAGATGTTCTATAGAACAAGCCTAGACGTTCTATAGAACAAGTCTAGATGTTCTATAGAACAAGTTTAGATGTTCTATAGAACAAGCTTAGATCATCCAATGAGATATTTTTGACCTGGCATGTCACGTGACCGGCCCCAATATAAAAAAAAACCCTGACCAAAACTTGACCAAACTCTGTGACGTCGGCTCACGTTCTGCTAATCAAAGGGTGTCTGGTGTCAGCCTCCATTAGTGGTGTTCATCGCTGGTGTCTGTGAAGTGGTGTCTAATTGTGGTGTCCGTCAAGTGGTGTCTAACAGACTGTTGAAATATAAATTCATAGGAAAAAAGTCATAGGAAAACTTGTCACATGAAAAATGTCACAAATGATTATTTACAATGAATTTGTAAATACTATTATGTATTAAGTATCATTAAGTATAAGCCAACATACGATTAATTAAATTCAATGTAAACATTGCTGATATAAATGCTTAGGTTGTACTCGTTTGACAAAATTTATATCACACGTAAAATATTTTAGTCTGAAGCATGTAGGTTTTAATTCAGTTACGCAAGTAACATTTAATAGAATTTAGTATAATTTGATAAAATAGCATTTAATGTAATTAAGTTGAATTTGATAAAATAAAATTTAATAGAATTAAGTAGAATTTGATAAAATAACATTTAATAGAATTAAGTAGAATTTGATAAAATAGCATTTAATAGAATTAAGTAGAATATTATAAAATAACATTTAATAAAATTAAGGAGAATTTGATAAAATAGCATTTAATAGAATTAAGTAGAATTTGATAAAATAGCATTTAATAGAATTAAGTAGAATATTATAAAATAACATTTAATAAAATTAAGGAGAATTTGATAAAATAGCATTTAATAGAATTAAGTAGAATATTATAAAATAACATTTAATAAAATTAAGGAGAATTTGATAAAATAGCATTTAATAGAATTAAGTAGAATATTATAAAATAACATTTAATAAAATTAAGGAGAATTTGATAAAATAGCATTTAATAGAATTAAGTAGAATATTATAAAATAACATTTAATAAAATTAAGGAGAATTTGATAAAATAGCATTTAATAGAATTAAGTAGAATATTATAAAATAACATTTAATAAAATTAAGGAGAATTTGATAAAATAGCATTTAATAGAATTAAGTAGGATTTGATAAAAAACATTTAATAGAATTATGTAGAATTTGATAAAATAAAATTTAATAGAATTAAGTAGGATTTGATAAAAAACATTTAATAGAATTATGTAGAATTTGATAAAATAAAATTTAATAGAATTATGTAGAATTTGATAAAATAACATTTAATAGAAATATGTAGAATTTGATAAAATAACATTTAATCGAATTAAGTAGAATTTGATAAAATAATATTTAATAGAATTATGTAGAATTTGATAAAATAACATTAAATGGAATTAAGTAGAATTTGATAAAATAGCATTTAATAGAATTAATTAGAATTTGATAAAATAACATTTAATAGAATTAATTAGAATTTGGTACAATCTTTAAAACTACTAAGTTTTTATTTATTTATTTATTTAATATGCTGCGGGAAAATTAGGGTAGTTAATATGATTTGTTGTCCTTAATTCATCGCAACAATAGTTCAACCACACTTACTGCCCACATTTACTGCCCACATTTACTGCCCACATTTACTGCCCACATTTACTGCCTACATTTATTTTTTATGATTAATTTATCTTCCGAGTATTTAAATAAAAATGTAACATATTTTGAAGCTGCTGTGTAAATTATCTGAAGGTATTTCTACTCGTTAAGAAGATGAACGTCAGAATATTAGTATAAGCCCTAATGCTTTGAAGTTCTTAAAAATGTTAATTAAATAAAACACCATCCATATTTATAAACACCCAAAACTTAACAAGTATCAGCAAGTAGATCAAAATATTTTTCACGTATTTTTGAGACCTTTCTGTGACTTTTTTTTCTTAAAAAAACTGTGACTTTTTTCTGTGACTTTATTCTGTGACTTTTATTCTGTAACTTTTTTCTGTGACTTTTTTATCCGCTCACCGTCCAACATCGGTGTCCGTGGTGTCCCACAACAGAACAGCAGGAATGATGTCATACCCTGCCATGATGCACAGTGTAATTTGCCAAATGTCAGCAGACGTTTGGCAGTTGAAAGATGACATCCGGTGACGTCATCACATGTCGTGACCTAAGAAAATTATATCCCATAATTCCTGCACTTCTAAAAGAAAATATTCTCCAAGTTTCTTAATCAAATGGAATTACCTTCCTTATACCTGACCACCATGAGAAGGGGGCGGTCTCATGGAATGACGTCATTTCCGGCACAAGTCTTGCTCACAGAGTCGTCTCTCTCCCCCCCCCCCCCCCCCCCTTCCCCTCGCCCAAACACTCAAACAAACCTTACCGCTGGACTTGCAGATCCGACCCGCCAAACGATTGTCCCACTTTCAAACAGCTCACTCCGTTTGATCAAATCATTTATCTGCCCTTGGTCAAGGAAATATAATCAAGTCTAGCTTGTGTGATCTCCCTTGAATTGATCTAAGAAGTAATAGTAGTCCCCCTTTAGACGGCCAATTGGGGACCAAGTCGTCTAGACCGACGCCACCGGTGAATCAATATGACCAGATAAACGTCACGGAAATGACCAATTCGTCACGTGACACAGGCTCGTGATAATTGGCCGTGCAATCTCCCCAAGTTTTATCGTCTGCTCCCCCAGTTTTGTCCTGCCGTCTGGGTAAAATGCGAACAGGAAGAGAATCAAGACAAAGTTCAAGTCTGCTAGAAGTGACAGCATTGGGTTTTGGCGCAATCTCAACTAGCGCTGAAACCTTTTGGCCTCGCTCGTCACTGTTTCAGTATCCCACTTTAATCTCATTATCCCACTTTAATCTCATTATCCCACTTTAATCTCATTATCCCACTTTAATCTCATTATCCCACTTTGTCTCATTATCCCCCTTTGACCTCATTATCCCACTTTGACCTCATTATCCCACTTTGTCCTCCTGTCCTCCATCCCCTAATGTCCTCCTGTCCTCCATCCCCCAATGTCCTCCTGTCCTCCATCCCCCAATGTCCTCCTGTCCTCCATCCCCCTATGTCCTCCACCCCCCAATGTCCTCCATCCCCCAATGTCCTGTCCTCCATCCCCTAATGTCCTCCATCCCCCAATGTCCTCCTGTCCTCCATCCCCCAATGTCCTCCTGTCCTCCATCCCCCTATGTCCTCCACCCCCCAATGTCCTCCATCCCCCAATGTCCTGTCCTCCATCCCCCAATGTCCTCCATCCCCCAATGTCCTGTCCTCCATCCCCTAATGTCCTCCACCCCCCAATGTCCTCCATCCCCCAATGTCCTGTCCTCCATCCCCTAATGTCCTCCATCCCCCAATGTCCTCCATCCCCCAATGTCCTGTCCTCCATCCCCTAATGTCCTCCATCCCCTAATGTCCTCCATCCCCTAATGTCCTCCATCCCCCAATGTCCTCCTGTCCTCCATCCCCCAATGTCCTGTCCTCCATCCCCTAATGTCCTCCATCCCCTAATGTCCTCCTGTCCTCCATCCCCCAATGTCCTCCTGTCCTCCATCCCCCAATGTCCTGTCCTCCATCCCCCAATGTCCTCCTGCCCTCCATCCCCTAATGTCCTCCATCCCCCAATGTCCTCCTGTCCTCCATCCCCCAATGTCCTCCTGTCCTCCATCCCCTAATGTCCTCCTGTCCTCCATCCCCCAATGTCCTCCTGTCCTCCATCCCCCAATGTCCTGTCCTCCATCCCCCAATGTCCTCCTGTCCTCCATCCCCTAATGTCCTCCATCCCCTAATGTCCTCCTGTCCTCCATCCACCAATGTCCTCCTGTCCTCCATCCCCCAATGTCCACCTGTCCTCCATCCCCAATGTCCTCCTGTCCTCCATCCCCCAATGTCCTCCTGTCCTCCATCCACCAATGTCCTCCTGTCCTCCATCCCCCAATGTCCTCCTGTCCTCCATCCCCCAATGTCCTCCTGTCCTCCATCCCCCAATGTCCTGTCCTCCATCCCCAATGTCCTCCTGTCCTCCATCCCCCAATGTCCTCCTGTCCTCCATCCCCCTATGTCCTCCTGTCCTCCATCCCCAATGTCCTCCTGTCCTCCATCCCCTAATGTCCTGTCCTCCATCCCCCAATGTCCTCCTGTCCTCCATCCCCTAATGTCCTCCATCCCCTAATGTCCTCCTGTCCTCCATCCACCAATGTCCTCCTGTCCTCCATCCCCCAATGTCCTCCTGTCCTCCATCCCCAATGTCCTCCTGTCCTCCATCCCCCAATGTCCTCCTGTCCTCCATCCCCCAATGTCCTCCTGTCCTCCATCCCCCAATGTCCTCCTGTCCTCCATCCCCAATGTCCTCCTGTCCTCCATCCCCTAATGTCCTGTCCTCCATCCCCCAATGTCCTCCTGCCCTCCATCCCCTAATGTCCTCCATCCCCCAATGTCCTCCTGTCCTCCATCCCCCAATGTCCTCCTGTCCTCCATCCCCAATGTCCTCCTGTCCTCCATCCCCAAATGTCCTGTCCTCCATCCCCTAATGTCCTCCATCCCCCAATGTCCTCCTGTCCTCCATCCCCCAATGTCCTGTCCTCCATCCCCTAATGTCCTCCATCCCCCAATGTCCTTCTGTCCTCCATCCCCCAATGTCCTCCTGTCCTCCATCCCCTAATGTCCTCCATCCCCCAATGTCCTCCATCCCCTAATGTCCTTCTGTCCTCCATCCCCCAATGTCCTCCTGTCCTCTATCCCTCAATGTCCTCCATCCCCCAATGTCCTCCATCCCCCAATGTCCTCCATCCCGAAATGTCCTGTGCTAATCAAACCACTGACAAAAGTACCTCTGAACTCTGTGAGCACTTTCTACAGTTGACCCTCGTTTCTTTCAGACAATCCTATCAATCGCTGGATTGAAGGAATGTTTGATTATAATCGGCACACAAACACTGACTTCTGCCCCCAAACAGGAAGTGGTAATGTCTACGTATGTCTGACGTCAGATCCGTGATGTGAAGATTTGTCCGCTAGCTTTGAATTGATGTTGACTTTGTGTGGGCTATCAAATGTACTTTCATCTGGCAGTACACCAGCCGGCACCTCATGTTGATCAGCCGGCACCTGTTGTTTATCTGCCGACATTTGAACCGGCTAACAAGCACACACCATTGTAACATTTGTTTTCACCCGGTGAAATACTTGAATTAATGATTTACATTGTTCGCTTATGTTGGCATCAATGGGATCTCAGGGATAGTTTAAATTACATTTAGGAACTTTACATTCCATAGCTGATATCTTTACATTCCATAGCTGGTATCTTTACATTCCATAGCTGGTATCTTTACATTCCATAGCTGGTATCTTTTCATTCCATAGCTGGTATCTTTACATTCCATAGCTGATATCTTTACATTGTTAGCTGGTATCTTTTCATTCCATAGCTGGTATCTTTTCATTCCATAGCTGGTATCTTTACATTCCATAGCTGGTATTTTTACATTGTATAGCAGGTACCTTTTCATTCCATAGCTGGTATCTTTACATTCCATAGCTGATATCTTTACATTCCATAGCAGATATATTTACACCGTGGGGAAATGAAGTTTGAAACATTTCACACGGAGACAAGTACTGCACCCAGGAAACCTTCGACGAATGTTTTTTTAAATTCAACATTTTTGCGTGATTTTTTAAAATTTAACATTTTTGTGTGATTTTGTTTAACTCAACATTTTTGTGTTTGTTATAAAAAAAGGCTCGGACATTTTATGAAGTAAGAAAACGGTTCTCATACACACTTATTTAAACAAGTTTTACCGAATAGTTTTCATAGGAATAGGTTTTTTTGTCAGTATTTGTAGTATGTACTACAAATCTTTGGGTGGGGGGGGGGGGGGGGCTAGTTGTTACAGGTTAGTTGTAGGTTAGAATAATCTTGAACTAAGGGGAGAGTGCGTGTGTGAGTTGAGTTTACCCTCGTGTGTAGTAACCCAGTGTGTTTATGTAATAAACATAAAACATGAACACATCACCTATTCATTTAGTCCTCTATAAAATAAATTTTTATAGCCAGAAATAATCAGAACAAATCAAATTTATCTATCCAAATTGTCATTACATATAGCCGGAAAATTCCGGTCTTTACACTCCGTGCTGGAAGGTTTGGTGTTAATCAGTGTCGACATCATTTCTCGTGATTGCTTCAGATAGAATTTTATGACTTTGATTAGACGCTAACCACTTTTGTAATTAGTTTTAGCCACAGGTCATAAATTTTCTAGACATTAGCAGAAGATTGGTGCTGATGAAATGGTGCAGTCGGCAAGGTAGTGATGTAGGCAAAGTCGGGGGGTCGGCAAGCTAGTGATCTAGGCAAAGTTGGGGGGTCGGCAAGGTAGTGATGTAGGCAAAGTCGGGGAATCGGCAAGGTAGTGATGTAGGCAAAGTTGGGGAGTCGGCAAGGTAGTGATGTAGGCAACGTTGGAAAGTCGGCAAGGTAGTGATGTAGGCAACGTTGGGGAGTCGGCAAGGTAGTGATGTAGGCAACGTTGGGGAGTCGGCAAGGTAGTGATGTAGCTGTGACTTAAATGGGCTGTTGGTGAAACTGTACGTGACACTGTACTACGTGATACTGTACCGTGTGACACTGCACCCCACGGGTCAAACCAGTGCAAACAATTATAAAACGTCACGCAGATATTTCCTCCCATCTGTGGCCATTGTTAGAGTTAAGGGGAGGGCAGCCATAATTTGATCATTGAATTTCTTCCCATTTACTCTCGTCAGCCGGCAGCTTTGCCACGGAATCTACCGGCAATCAGGCGGCAAATTGTGTTGGATGTAACTTATGATGGTCGACTCAAAGCGCTGATTACATCCACAAATTGTGTTGGATGGAACTTATGATGGTTGGCTGAGGAAAGTTAACTGAATGCTGAGGAAAGTTGACTGAGGAAAGTTGACTGAAGGCTGAGGAAAGTTGATTGAGGGCTGAGGAAAGTTTATTGAGGGCTGAGGAAAGTTGACTGAAGGCTGAGGAAAGTTGACTGAGGAAAGTTGACTGAAGGCTGAGGAAAGTTGATTGAGGGCTGAGGAAAGTTTATTGAGGGCTGAGGAAAGTTGACTGAAGGCTGAGGAAAGTTGACTGAGGAAAGTTAACTGAAGGCTGAGGAAAGTTGACCGAGGAAAGTTGATTGAGGGCTGAGGAAAGTTTATTGAGGGCTGAGGAAAGTTTATTGAGGGCTGAGGAAAGTTGACTGAAGGCTGAGGAAAGTTGACTGAGGAAAGTTGACTGAAGGCTGAGGAAAGTTGATTGAGGGCTGAGGAAAGTTTATTGAGGGCTGAGGAAAGTTGACTGAAGGCTGAGGAAAGTTGACTGAGGAAAGTTGACTGAAGGCTGAGGAAAGTTGATTGAGGGCTGAGGAAAGTTTATTGAGGGCTGAGGAAAGTTGACTGAAGGCTGAGGAAAGTTGACTGAGGAAAGTTGACTGAAGGCTGAGGAAAGTTGATTGAGGGCTGAGGAAAGTTTATTGAGGGCTGAGGAAAGTTGACTGAAGGCTGAGGAAAGTTGACTGAGGAAAGTTGACTGAAGGCTGAGGAAAGTTGATTGAGGGCTGAGGAAAGTTTATTGAGGGCTGAGGAAAGTTGACTGAAGGCTGAGGAAAGTTGACTGAGGAAAGTTAACTGAAGGCTGAGGAAAGTTGATTGAGGGCTGAGGAAAGTTTATTGAGGGCTGAGGAAAGTTGACTGAAGGCTGAGGAAAGTTGACTGAGGAAAGTTAACTGAAGGCTGAGGAAAGTTGACCGAGGAAAGTTGATTGAGGGCTGAGGAAAGTTTATTGAGGGCTGAGGAAAGTTTATTGAGGGCTGAGGAAAGTTGACTGAAGGCTGAGGAAAGTTGACTGAGAAAAGTTGACTGAAGGCTGAGGAAAGTTGATTGAGGGCTGAGGAAAGTTTATTGAGGGCTGAGGAAAGTTGACTGAAGGCTGAGGAAAGTTGACTGAGGAAAGTTGACTGAAGGCTGAGGAAAGTTGATTGAGGGCTGAGGAAAGTTTATTGAGGGCTGAGGAAAGTTGACTGAAGGCTGAGGAAAGTTGACTGAGGAAAGTTAACTGAAGGCTGAGGAAAGTTGACCGAGGAAAGTTGACTGAAGGCTGAGGAAAGTTGATTGAGGGCTGAGGAAAGTTTATTGAGGGCTGAGGAAAGTTGACTGAAGGCTGAGGAAAGTTGACTGAGGAAAGTTGACTGAAGGCTGAGGAAAGTTGATTGAGGGCTGAGGAAAGTTTATTGAGGGCTGAGGAAAGTTGACTGAAGGCTGAGGAAAGTTGACTGAGGAAAGTTAACTGAAGGCTGAGGAAAGTTGACCGAGGAAAGTTGATTGAGGGCTGAGGAAAGTTTATTGAGGGCTGAGGAAAGTTGACTGAAGGCTGAGGAAAGTTGACTGAAGGCTGAGGAAAGTTGACTGAAGGCTGAGGAAAGTTGACTGAAGGCCGAGGAAAGTTGACTGAAGGCTGCGGAAATTTGACTGAGGAAAGTTGACTGAAGGCTGAGGAATGTTGACTGGCGCCTACGTTCGTTTTAAACAGTGCGATAGACTGGATACAACGGGACATTGTCGTCGTTCACTAAACTGAATCAGACACGTCCGTCGACTCGTCCGTTACTTTTAAGGAGCCAGGGATTTCACGCGGTAGTGTAGGTAAACCCGTGCCCCTATAAATATGATCTAAGCGCAGACATTGTTTACATATAAATAACTCAGATTTAGAAAACAAGTTTACGCGTCTAGGAATATAGGATTGGTAAAGCATTGGTAAAACCCTTCTTATATATTTCGACTTTCTTTGACGAATACACTACTGAATTACTAAAAAGTAGAAAATAAAACAAATTAAAAAACATTTCCCATAGCAAGCTTTTAAATGCACTGAAAATAAGAAAATGAAACGAATTGGCTTTCTTCCATAAAAGCTTTGGTTATTCATGAAATCTTTTACATATTTTAGCAACAAGAGCTTTTCTTTTCTTTTTTTTTTCACTTCAGTTGAAAGCTTGCTACTAGTTTTTAATATGTTTTATTACATGTTACATATTTGAATGTCTGTGTTGTATTTTGCATTCTGTTCTTCACAAAGTACTTTATAAGTGTGTATTTTGTATTATGTTCTTTTCTTCACAAAGTACTTTATAAATGTGTATTTTGTATTCTGTTCTTTTCTTCACAAAGTACTTTATAAATGTGTAGTTTGTATTATGTTCTTTTCTTCACAAAGTACTTTATAAATGTGTATTTTGTATTCTGTTCTTTTCTTCACAAAGTACTTTATAAATGTGTATTTTGTATTCTGTTCTTTTCTTCACAAAGTACTTTATAAATGTGTTGTTTGTTGAGAAACACGGGGATCTAGACATCCACCAATCCCCTATACATCCAACAATCTTCTATAGTTCCACCAATCCTCTCTACATCCACCAATCCTCTCTACATCCACCAATCCTCTATCCATCCACCAATCCTCTATCCATCCACCAATCCTCTATCCATCCACCAATCCTCTATCCATCCACCAATCCTCTATCCATCCACAAATCCTCTATATATCCACCAATCCTCTATCCATCCACCAATCTTCTATCCATCCACCAATCCTCTATCCATCCACCAATCCTCTATACATCCACCAATCCTCGATACATCCACCAATCCTCTATCTATCCACCAATTCTCTCTACATCCACCAATCCTTTATACATCCACCAATCCTCTATCCATCCACCAATCCTCTATCCATCCACCAATCCTCTATCCATCCACCAATCCTCTATCCATCCACCAATCCTCTATCCATCCACCAATCCTCTATCCATCCACCAATCCTCTATACATCCACCAATCCTCTCTACATCCACCAATCCTCTATCCTCTATCCATCCACCAATCCTCTATCCATCCACCAATCCTCTATCCATCCACCAATCCTCTATACATCCACCAATCCTCTCTACATCCACCAATCCTCTATCCATCCACCAATCCTCTATCCATCCACCAATCCTCTATCCATCCACCAATCCTCTATACATCCACCAATCCTCGATACATCCACCAATCCTCTATCTATCCACCAATTCTCTCTACATCCACCAATCCTCTATCCATCCACCAATCCTCTATCCATCCACCAATCCTCTATCCATCCCATATCCTGTAGAGCTAGTGATCTGTTATTGATCAAGTATTTCTTTCATCATCTGAACAAAACGGATGTGAAAGTTTTAATTACTTTTTAATTAGTGCTTTAATTAAAATAATTTGGTGAAATAGCTGAAACTAGAGAAAAACACAGAGAAGGGTCTAGGGATAGACAGTTACTCGTGAAGAAGGGGGCGACTAGATCAACTGACTAGACAGAGTCACTCGTAGACTAGGGTGTGACTAGATCAACTGACTAGACAGAGTCACTCGTAGACTAGGGTGTGACTAGATCAACTGACTAGACAGAGTCACTCGTAGACTAGGGTGTGACTAGATCAACTGACTAGACAGAGTCACTCGTAGACTAGGGTGTGACTAGATCAACTGACTAGACAGAGTCACTCGTAGACTAGGGTGTGACTAGATCAACTGACTAGACAGAGTCACTCGTAGACTAGGGTGTGACTAGATCAACTGACTAGACAGAGTCACTCGTAGACTAGGGTGTGACTAGATCAACTGACTAGACAGAGTCACTCGTAGACTAGGGTGTGACTAGATCAACTGACTAGACAGAGTCACTCGTAGACTAGGGTGTGACTAGATCAACTGACTAGACAGAGTCACTCGTAGACTAGGGTGTGACTAGATCAACTGACTAGACAGAGTCACTCGTAGACTAGGGTGTGACTAGATCAACTGACTAGACAGAGTCACTCGTAGACTAGGGTGTGACTAGATCAACTGACTAGACAGAGTCACTCGTAGACTAGGGTGTGACTAGATCAACTGACTAGACAGAGTCACTCGTAGACTAGGGTGTGACTAGATCAACTGACTAGACAGAGTCACTCGTAGACTAGGGTGTGACTAGATCAACTGACTAGACAGAGTCACTCGTAGACTAGGGTGTGACTAGATCAACTGACTAGACAGAGTCACTTGTGTGGGCGACTAGACTAACTGACTAGACAGAGTCACTCGTGTGGGTGACTAGATCAACTGACTAGACAGAGTCACTTGTGTGGGCGACTAGACTAACTGACTAGACAGAGTCACTCGTGTGGGTGACTAGATCAACTGACTAGACAGAGTCACTCGTAGACTAAGGGGTGACTAGACCAACTGACTAGACAGAGCCAGCATCTAAATGACGCCTAGATGGTGATAAAACATCCCCTCTCAGCAAGACAACTTTGCCAGTCAGCAAATGACGGCTAACCTTTTAGACCTTAACTTTCTACTTCCGCTTGGTCGAGTTGATGGAATAAACAATGTCGCAAATCGCGGGGGCTGCGAGATTGCATGAGACGTGTAATGTCGACTCTGATTGGACAGTTTATAGTCACGTGACGGTTCCCGACCAATCACGATGTATCAGACGTACATCAAATACAGCAGCAGATTATTTCTTTGCTATGAGCACGTCGTTATCCCTGCCCTCCCCCTCCCCCCCACCCCCACCCCCCACCCCCCACACACACGCCCGACCCATCAAAAACCAAAAATGTAAGACATCCCCATAAGATTACTCGCTCAAAAACCGGCCGAAAACGGATACGACAAAAGTCCGGCAATATGAGCCGGCAGTAATGGCTGACTTGATTAGACCGGCTATTGGAGCCGGCTAAATTGGTTGAATTCATTAGCAGAGGATCAAATTTTGGGTAAATTGGATGTACTCATTCAAGAATTTGACACGATATATCAGAAACAATATCAGACACGATACTATACTCGATACTCGAGATGATACACCAGACACGATACACCAGACATTACACTAAACACGATACCAGACACGATACCAGACTCGATACCAGACACGATACCAGACATGATACACCAGACACGATACATCAGACATTATCCTAAACGCGATACCAGACACGATACCAGACACGATATCAGACTCGATACCAGACACGATACCAGACACGATACATCAGACATTATCCTAAACGCGATACCAGACACGATACCAGACATGACACAACAGACGCGATACTGGACACGATACCAAACTTGTTACCAAATATATTAACTGAGTACCGTACACGACATCAGAAACGATAAAATAGACACGATACAACATGCACGATACACTAGACACGATACCAGACACAATACAAAACACGATATCAAACACGATACACCAATCATAATACCAGACACGTAGGTACACGATACCACACAGACAAGATACCAGACACGATACCCGACATGATACACCAGACACAATACTAAACACGATACCAGACACGATACCAGACACGGTAGATACACCATACCACACAGACACGATACCAGATACGATACCAGATACGATACTAAACACGATACCAGACACGATACCAAACACGATACCAGACCCAATACCAAACACGAGACCAATTACGATACCAGACACGATACCAGACACGATACCAAACACTATACACCAAAGATTAGTGAACATGAAATCTCGTGTGTCAACTAACGTCGCTAACGAGAAACACATGCAGTAGCTAATCATGTTTGCTACATGCAGTAGTTGCTGATGTTTTCTACATGTCATTGTTTGGACCCTGTGATCTCCCAGCAGTGTAGTGTATAGGAAGGTGTCATCTAAATCAAAGACAGTAACCCGACACTTTTGCCGGATACATTTTTGGTCAGCTCCATTTCACCACCCCACCCCACCCCCCGCCGACCGACATCTCCCCACCCCCTGTTTGAAGTGCAGCTCACGTCAAATGTTTTTGCCGCGCTCTGTGTGTCACTTTTTATCATGGTGTGTCACCTCCCCTTCTTTAATATTTGATGTGTCACCTTTCATTCTTTAATATTTGATGTGTCACCTTTCATTATTTAATATTTGATGTGTCACCTTTCATTATTTAATATTTGATGTGTCACCTTTCATTCTTTAATACTTGATGTGTCACCTTTCATTCTTTAATACTTGATGTGTCACCTCTCCTTCTTTAATATTTGATGTGTCACCTTTCCTTCTTTAATATTTGATGTGTCACCTCTCCTTCTTTAATATTTGATGTGTCACCTTTCATTCTTTAATATTCGATGTGTCACCTTTCATTCTTTAATATTTGATGTGTCACCTCTCCTTCTTTAATATTTGATGTGTCACCTTTCATTCTTTAATATTTGATGTGTCACCTTTCCTTCTTTAATATTTGATGTGTCACCTCTCCTTCTTTAATATTTGATGTGTCACCTTTCATTCTTTAATACTTGATGTGTCACCTTTCATTCTTTAATATTTGATGTGTCACCTTTCCTTCTATAATACTTGATGTGTCACCTTTCATTCTTTAATATTTGATGTGTCACCTTACATTCTATAATACTTGATGTGTCACCTTTCATTCTTTAATATTTGATGTGTCACCTCTCCTTTAATATTTGATGTGTCAC